GTAAAACGCGGACTAGTAAAAAACTTGTATTAAACTTGACTTGTATTAGCATAATTGTCTTTATTTGAACGATCGTCTCTCATCCAAAGAACTTGAAATACTAATCAACTGTATGCTTCTAACATACAAGATTTGTTTGGATGGAATGGATGTAATGTTACTTGTTGGCTCTACTGAAGTATGTTAGAAGTATACAGTTGATTGGTATTTGAAGTTCTTTGGATGAGAGATGATCGTTCAAATAAAGACAATCATGCTAGTATAAGTCAAGTTTAATACAAGTTTTTTACTAGTCCGCGTTTTACAAGTCCGTGTTTTACAAGCCCACGTTTTACAAGTGCGCGTTTTACAAGTCCGCGTTTTACTTGTCCGCGTTTTACTAGTCCGCGTTTTACTAGCCCGCGTTTTACAAGTCCTCGTTTTACAAGTCTGCGTTTTACAAGTCCGCGTTTTACCAGTCCAGTCCAGTCCACGAAATACAGTATGCCCAAAAGAAGCGAGTGAGCCTTTAGACATTCTATTAATACCCCCCATTCCATGATATCAGGATCTGGTATCATGATATGATTGGTTTGTAAAATGTGGTTGACCGCTGTACACGACTCCTACGGTTCATGACATTTGTGCATTTTTCATTCTCTTTTAATTTTCGGTCCCGCAACCTTTCATTATTTAATTTCACTTGTGATTCTGAAGGGTACTTTATGCTGTGTTATTAGGAGGAATTTTAAGGGTAGTGGAGCCGTTTGGCTGTGCAAATTATAGCAAATTATTCGTTTTTGAGGTCAAAGGCATGGTTTCCGGACTTTCCTCTGTTATCTGCACGTCGCTTCGCGGAGTTTGACATCTCTGTCATTTGCCATGTGCTTATAATTTCTTTAGGCTCATTTCAGTATTGCAAAATATGTTTTAAGCTCTCAAAGTATTGGCTCTGAAGGATCAAACTTTGAAATATGCCGTGAACATGTTGCTTACTTGCACTCTATATTATGACACCGGGCCCGGCTGTTTGATTGGGTTGATTAGAACTGTTTGGAAGTACAGAAACTGCAGCTTCTTGACAGGTCTAATTACCTCATTGACTGATTTGTTATAGGCTTAACACCAATGGCAGATAGGCACATCAAAAACAAAGTCCACAGGCTCCCCCGTCCCACCCCGATCGCTTCACTCTCTGAATTCTTAAGTTTCACGCTCGTCCGCTCACTTTGCCTGCCGAATTTTATTTCCGTCCTTGCCGGGAGCCTGTTTGCAGGCTAGCTAGTACAGTAATGTTCCAGAAGTAACAAAACGCTGAAGTGCTACTAACTGGACAAGATTTTTAAGCGAAAGAACTGTATCATCTAGCATTATAATTCAGAGTCTAGCTACGATTTGGACAGCTTCGATGTATATATTTTTTTCCCTTTCGAAGTGCGGGTCGCCAGTCGAGATCACCGTATTGTAATTTAGGCCAGGATTAGGATCGACAATTTGCCAGTCCATTTGGGTTATAAAGGTACAAATAATGGCTGAGAACGGCTAACTTAGAGCTCTTGAAGAGTTATGGAGATGTCAGTGAACACGAAGAGTTGGTAATTTGACTTGACGGTACGTGCAGATTTCGGAGTGTCAAAACAGTTTCAGATTCAAACACTAATTTCCCCTGAAATACAAGTTAATATGCGATGCAGTCACAGTCTACCCCTGCCTACAGTTTACTTCTCCAGATCAGTGATTGAAAATAGTTTTAACATAAGAGATAAGCAGAGGTGTCGGCAAAAAAATATCCAAAGGTGGGGTGACTTTTCGCTTTGTTATTAATCGTCGACCGACCGTAGTATATGCAAAGTTGCATGTTTCGTACTAGTAGATCATGGAAAATCCTTCGACAAGATCTTGAAAAGAGGTTCAGTATAGTATCACTTAAATGAATACATTTCTACTTCACTGTTATTTTGAATGAAATGTCCATTTTACGTACGCTAATAACCTGGGAGTTCTCGACTTATTTAGTTTGCGTTTCGGTTGACTGACAAGTGCATTCTTCTTTCAGCATAATCTCCGTCGGTAGCTATAGAGTCGAATCTTAATCATTTGTTTCACTTTCGTCATATTTATAAATGCTTATCCATTCTAAGTTTGTGATTTAGATATATTTCGTTCCTCAAAGATGAACCTTAAAGAACAAAACAATTCTCTATTCAAAACGGCCTTTGAGAAACACGGCCGGCCAATTTTTATTTATTATTATCTTACGAATCTTACGAATAATAATAAATAAAAATAAACACGGCCGGATTATGACCTCGGGCGTGCGCATGTTTTTATTAAAATCCACAAATACATAGCTAGTTCACAAGTTCGAAGCCTCAACAATCTTAATCGCCTCGTTGTAGGACGTGGGTTTTGTTTACTATTCTATTAGAAAAGTCTCTATTTCGAGTACAAAAAACGCGATGCGTTTAATTTACCGTGTAATTTCCTCAACTATAGTTCGTCGAATGACACCGGTTTCGCCCCATGGCGAGTTCGCCCCCACCGAGTTCGCACCCCTGAACATATTCTAAACTTTCTATTTCGAGTTCGCCGTCGCCTTCAATGGATAACAGAACGAGAAATAAACATGTTTTGTGTTATTTTGTTTCATCATGCGCACAATGTTGTCTTTTTCTCTCGGTTAGAGAAAGATAGATTTTAAGCACTTGATTGCTACAATCATGGACAAAAGTCTTGGGACAAATTTGAACTTTTGGTGCTTTTGCGCACACGCCAGACGCGAATACTACTTCACCTGCCTAACCTCACTCCCCACCCCCCCATACAATGTTGAAAACTACTACCTGCAATTTCTTCTGATTTTCAACATTGTATTGGGTGGGGAG